CCTTAAGGAGGAGAAAGACATCAGAAAGACTCTCTCTGATTCCCCTTCTGTCTTGACAAGTACAGGAGTGGATTTCCAGGGGCAATTACAGACCCAGAGGGCAGGAAAGGGTCAGAGCTTATGTCCAAAATGCCAGGCTGATCCAGGCCTCATGTGACGATTACTGGCATGCCATTTGCAAAACTCACTCTTTCATAAGACCAAATTTATATGGAATGTCTTTGTGTGGCATTTCTGACCCCACTTCAGTGGCCATTTCATCACATACCCCTCGAAGGAGACATCTTTACAACATAATGCTCCATCTGAAAAAAATGTACATTTTGTCCTGAAATACACCCTAGCTAGAAACACTGAAACTGTGTTTCTAAAGGGATCAGCAGCTCCCACCATGCATTCCAGGGATGAATTGTGGACAGAGTTTCCATGGCCTGAGTCAGAGCTAGGAGCTGGAAGCCATTGGCATTCAATGCTTCTGAGTTTTGGAGCCCAGAGGCAGAGCTGAGAGCTCTTACCACACAGAGGCAGATCAGAGTATCCTTTGCTGTGTGTTTAGTGGTTCTGTTTTGTGTTTACAAGGATCTCAGGCGACCTCACAGTTGATGGCTGCAGCATCTCCATCCCTGCCTTCACATGGGCTGTGTAACTCGTTGCATAAAGAAGGTCAGGATGGGATAGTTCCTCTTTGCAAAGCACTCTCTGAATGCTTAACAGTGCTTGCCTTTTATCTACACCTATTGGTACACACAGATCTCAGATTTAAAAGTCCTGTGTGTGATGTACCTGCCTTAACAGGGGCTTTTTGTGTCTTCCAGGAGCTGTGCTCAGCTCAGTCCATTAGGGTAATGCTACTTGTGCAGTGGAGTCACTTATGATTTACACTGGGGTAAGTGAGACTGGAAGCTGGGCCTTGATCTTTTTAATGCAAATTCATCAATTCTGTTAGATAAAAGATGAAAGGAATCTATTACATTCCTCAGTCATCTCTTGAAACAAAATCATTTGATTGGTTCCAGGCAGTAAGAAGTCCTTACTCCTGTAGTTATCTCCAGACATGAAACCTTGAGTTAGCAACCAAAGCTCCTACTGGAGATATTTATTTTTCATGGATAGTGATTAATGATGAGTGCTAATAATGACAGAAGTGATTTCCAAGTTAAAATGTAAGAATGCAAAACTTAAGGTTAACATGTTCCTCTGGTGTTTGACTGAGCAGTATGTGTTTAAAGACACACACCTTTTACTTCAAAACGTTTTATTCTCCTTTTAAATCCACACCTTGATGTCGAACTGACAGTGGTGCAAATGAGGAGGTGACAGAGGTCTCTCTGATGTAAAATCAAAGTGAGTTCAGATGCACAGTGCAGACACTGGAGGAGCGTGAAGCACAGAGCACGTAAACATAACAAATAGCTGCACATGCAAGAGTATAGCAAGTGCCAAATGTCTACAATACTGCAAATTAACTGCTATGACAGGAGATCTTGCAGTGGTGTTCTGAATGGGAAAGCAGAACTCGATTACAGAGATCATAAAATCACCCCCTCCCTTGATCTTCAGCTGCCTAAACCAGGAGAGGCAGAAAGAGCTGGCTCTGAACAAACAATCTTTTATGGGTGATGGATGTGGCACTGCTTTGTCCAGTAAAATTGCTGATTTACTAATAGTTAAAAAATAAATCCTTTGTGATGACACCAACCTCTCTAACCTGCTGAAGAAAGTGCAAACAGATGGGTATCTGTGTGACTGTGAGTGATGAAACCAGTCTGGAGAAATACCCACAGCTCCTGACGAGAACGGATATTGCAGCATGCAGGAACATCACCAGCATCCCCATTAGGATATATTCATTTTCTTTGTGCCAAGAATATGACCAGTGATGCTGGGTGGTTTGATTTAACAGATCTGCCTCTTCTAGCAAAAAAGCAACAGATATTTTATACAAAAGTGAAATGTGCCCAGGGAAGCCTGGACAGATTTAAATTCCTCAGGCTTTCCTCTTTATTGCAATGCCAGCAGACTTAAGGGACTTTTGACCCTACTAGTAAATTTTTAAATAAACGTAGGATACCTGCTTTATGGGTCTGAAAGGGACAGGAATGGCTTTTTGTTTCTGATAGGAGAGTCTGTTAAAAAAAAAAAATCAAAAAACTTCCCTTTATATGTGAAATTCCATACTGGCTTTTCCTCAAGACTGCTCTGATTTACTTCAAGAAAAATTGCATCCAAGTCTGGTTGGTTCAAAGTGGTACAAACTACAGATATAAGCCAGGTGAAATATGTAAGTGAGAACAGAATGAGGCCCTGCATTTTTAGAGCAGATAAATGTAGCTCAGAAACTTATTTTTAGAGTTACATAGTTTGCAGGAAGTCAAGCACTAAGAGAGATGAATACCTATCACATATCAATGCTGAGGAAATGGTATTTTGTTGATTATAAATCAAAATTGAAGGAATTTTTGGGTGCAGCTCATCAAACACTGATTTAGGAAACAATTTTCCTCTGGAATACTTTTCTCCTCGGCAGCATACAAAGGCAGTTGAGTAATTTTTGTGGTTTCGGTATGAAGAAATACTTATCCTTTAATCCTTAAATCATTGCAATTGAGTATAATTTCATGTCAAAAGCAGCCAATAAAAGTACAAAATAGGGATTAGCGGGAGTATTTTTAGATTAAAATTACTTGAGTTGGAAAGAAGTGGCACATAATCCCAGTACCTTCACGAGCACTGTAGCAAGCTGAAGAGGATTTGTTCTGTTTCATTTGAAGACTGATGGCATAAGTTACAAGGGAGAGAAGCTATTATTACAACAGGGAGGATTTCACAATAATCATAATCCGCAACTGTACATAAATTTAATTGAGAGTTAATTCTTTTTTTGTCTGATATCTTTTAATCATCAATGCTATACAATACTTCTGCTTCTAGTGGCAAAGCACTTGGGAAGCAAAGTTAAACCCATCATTTTGGCCATAAATTGGGACACTCATAAAGCTGCAACAATTGCTTCCATTTCTAAGTATTAAAACAAATGACTACTCTCATTTAACCTTGAGGCACAAGATTCTCATTGCTTGTATTGTGATATAATTCACAGGAGTGAATATAAGCTTCTGTTGGAACAAAAAAAAAAAAATTCCTCTTCATTCCCTTCCTGAAGTGTTCAAGCTGGCATCATTTGCAGCATGAAGTCCTGGCTCAGTTTGCATATTCAAGAGAAAAATGTGAAACAATCCCCCTGCCTCTGCCATACACCTCACTTTTGAAGGAAGCATGTACTTGTTTCAGGTCCTGATACCTGGGATATTTCTTAAATCTTTGCCTGGAGTTGTATATGACAGGTACCAAATGGCAGCTTCTCTCTGCATTCCCCTTTCTAGAACACAGACAAATTTATTGGTTAATGTTTATATAAGCCCAGTATAAGTGTGCCTGATTTACTGTACCAATACCTGCAGCTGTAGAATGTCTGTTCTACTCAACAGCATTTAAAGGACCTTTGGGGTGCACAATGTGTCTCCCATTATCCCATTAATGACAAGGCTCAGCTTTGGGCAATAACAGAAAAGTTATTTATATGCACAATGATTTTTTTTCCCTCAACAACTTTTACAGCTTCCCCAAGTTATAGAAGAGTCAATAGCTGGCTTAGTGATGCTGGCAGACTAAGTAATACTTTGTACATACTCATTGCTAGGAAGAGAAAAATGTTGAGTTTATTTTTGTGACCTTTAGATTCGGAGAACTGGCTAAAATCAATTTATAGTTCCATGAGATTGGATGATACCTACACTAAGCAGTAAAATTGCTTCCACTTTGATAGAGTGTGTTAAAATATAACAGCAAGGTAACAACCATTGGTTAGGATACAGAATGGGAAGTGAAGGGGTGTTGGTCAAGAGTAGGAGGTCAGGGAACAATTTGACAGGTTTCAAGCCACTCTGTCTTGAATGCTTAGGAAAAAGATTTCAAGGAATCTAACCTGGCAACTACTGTCATTAAGGAATAAACATGAGTACTCCTGGCAGTAAAAAGGGGACAGTCATCCAGAGTGTGCCTATAGAACCATACATTGAATTATGGGAATATCACTGAGAGAGAGCAGGATCAGATGACAGTGGTTGCTGTGCCATCGCCACTTTGTGCCTGAGGTCAGGACCCAGCTTTTCTTTCACCACAGCAGAAGATCTCTTTTAATGAGGCCTTCTCTTCATTCCTCAGGGATTAATGGGAGCAGCTGATTTTCACAGCTCCCCAAGGAAGATCACTGCTCAGGCTATGAAAAATACCACAGGAATTCTTTAATTATCTGTTGTCTTCAGTTGTTGGTATAGTTATTCTTGCATGACACTTTGTTTATTATTGCCTCCACAGGTCACCTTGCAGAACAGATGCCTTGCAGCAGAAGAATTAGGAAAGAAGGAGGGCTGAGTGATACTGGTATGTATCTATCATGTCATGTCCTGATCTTACTGAGGAGGAAACGAGTCCTGCATTCCTGTGCCAGTGCTGTGGCAGAACCACAGATGTGGTGATGCACACTGAACAAGTCCTGACGTGAAGAATTCCCCCCAGTAGCAAATGAGGTGGTTTATCTACTGGATTTCAACTCATGGAGTCAGATATTCCTGAAATGACTCCTGCCAGCTGCTCCTCAGCTGAGAGTGGCACAACACAGCCATCAGCACTTGATCCCAGAGTAGAGTGTTGTAATGCCACGCTGGCTCACACTGTCTCACACCCTTCCTATGCAAAACCTTTGTAAAATTAAAAAAAACAGAAAGTACCTGTAGCAAATGAGGTGGTTTATCTACTGGATTTTAACTCATGGAGCCAGGTATTCCTGAAATAATTCCTGCCAGCTGCTCCTCAGCTGAGAGTGGCACAACACAGCCATCAGCACTTGATCCCAGAGTGCTGTAATGCCACGCTGGCTCACACTGTCTCACACCCTTCCTATGCAAAACCTTTGTAAAATTAAAAAAACCAGAAAGTACCTGCTCTGGGGACTTTGGTACAGCTCCGACCATTTCCAAAAAACCCCTCAGGGCAGCGGCCACAGAGGTACCCAAGGTAGGGGGGCTTGCGGTCAAAGCAGGGCGCTCCAGGGAAACACGGCCTGCTGGCACAGCTGGGGACCTGTGCCACAGCTCCTGCACGGGCAAAACAAGGCAGGTCAAGCATTTATTTATAATTTATCAGATGAAACACATACCTAAAATTTAGCCCAGCTAAAGCTTTATAACTGCTTTTATTCTTTTAAAGTCTAATTGATGCGAAATGTTCGCAAACCTTGAGCCAAAGATGAGAATGTCCTGTGGGCACAGTGTAACAGAACAGCTGTTTCTCATTAAAGCAAGATTTATTAGTCCTCTAATTACATGTTTTCAAGTTTATTACTCAAAGTTGTTTGGCGTTTATCATGTAAAATATAGAAACTGTAATTTTCAGCATAAGTGAAAGCTTAACTGAGTGAGAAAAGGTATTATTTGACATCTTTTTGGTCTTTTATAATTGGAAGGTAATTATCAAACCTTACAGCACCTATACTGTACTTTTGAAATTACACTGTGAAGTACATATGTTTCTGATCTGGAAATCATCCTTAATGTGTCAAACCTTGTATTACAGAAAACTGCTTTAATTATCTTAGGACTATGTGCAAAATTTAACACTCTGGTAGTATATAATATTTTACCACTTATGATGTCACTGAATAGCAAGTGTGTATGAACTGCCTGTGAAGTATTTAATAGTGTCAAGACAGAGAACAGATGATGAATACAATCTTAATGATAGTTGTAGATCCTTTTTAATTGCTTCCAGTGAGGTCTCCACCATGATTCTCATGTATTTTCTGCATTATTCTTGCTCTTTACCTACAGTATCATGACATAGGACACCTGCAGGAGGCAGGTTCTGCTTAGGGGTTGGCTGGCCTGGTACAGATATTAAAAAAAAAAGGGTAAGAAGAAAAACTCCTTTAATTTTACATAAAATATGTTATTTTTATGTATAATGTGTATACATATATTTATATATTTTTTATTTTTATATAAAAATATGTTATTTATCTGTTGTCTCTGTACAACAGATATGACCAATCTCTATTTTTTGCTGCCTGCTTTCACTGGAAAATCAATTAAAAATGCAACACTCACTACAGCAGGACCAACACGAGCATGGTGCAGATGCACTCCCATGCCAGAAGAGAGTGCTGCACCTCTGGGAAAAGCTACTGCCACAGGCAAGTTCATTCCTCGAGTTGCTCTCATGATTAAAACTCAGTAGCAATTCAATGGCTGCCCAATAAATACTGGAATAAAACAACAGAATCACTTGGTCATGGCAAGCTGGCATAAGCTGCCACTTTTATTATCTTGCTTTGCACTGATCACTGCAATTTGGGGTGGTTTTGTCCTACTTCAGAAGTGGTGATGTCTAATTAAGCCTGGCCACTCTGGCTGTTATTGTTGCAATGCCTCCCTTCCATGTCAAATTGTTTAGCAGTAATCCACAGTCTGATGTATTGAGTGGTTTTTTCTAACTCAAATCTTCTTGTGATGTAAACAGCTAGCTTGTGTTTACTGTTAAGGTGTTAAAATTAATGATTTCTGAATCCATAATCTTTCCCAAATGAAAAAGATTTCATATCCTTGTATACCTACCGTGCCTATCACTTATGTTAAAATTCTTAATTACAGGAGAATCCTTTGTCTCTAAGGATTGCAGTGGCTGCTTAACCTTCATCCTGTTCAATTCACCTTTGCCATTGCTTAAAGCTTCTGTAACGTCAGCAGCAAGCACAGCTGTGGAAAATATCACAGAGACAAAAACAAGGTGTTAGAGCTCAGCTGTGATTGATGATAAAAAGCCACAGCAACAGCAAAACAGGTAACCTGGCACAAATTTACCCTGCAAGCCAAGAAGCAAATAAAGGTAGATCAGGTGGGTCCAGCTGCTGACACGCAGCAAAGCTTCACCCAAGTATAGGAAAAGTTATGATGCCCAGGCATTCTGATCTTTGCTTGTCTGGGAGTCTGAATGTGCAGTGTGATCTCTCACTGGGCTCAGGGCACCTGGAAAGGCTCAGGTCAGTGTCAGCAGTGTCTGACAGCACTTCTCCTTGGATGGGGATGCTGCACCTCACCCTGGGAGCTGTGCTCTGGCTGAGTTTTTCCCCTCCTTGACACCTCTCCTTCTCTCTGAAACTCTGGTGAGTGTGTTTGTTCAGTCAGTTCAGCTGCCTGCTTTGTGTGTTTGAAATACTTGTGAAAAGTGCACATGGATGCAATGAGGAAACTCTGAAAAATGTGATTTTCTGCATAATTTTAAGGTAATGAATTAGAGATAAAGTCTATGTGGATAGTGCTGCAACTTAAACAGTTATTGCCTTGAGTCTCTTGAATATTCTCTGCTCTTAATAGAGCCTGAAATTCTGACACTATATATATATATTAATACAATGAGCTGTTGCTCACTTTACAAGCTATAGAACAACTTCAGTCCTCCTTCCCTTTATACTCACTTAAGCAAGGGAGGTAAGAGCAGGAATGTTAAGTTTCTGAATCAGAGCTAAAAATAATGATTTCTATCCTATCCTGAGTGGACAAATAAGCCCTCAGGTTTATTCCTTCTAATAAATGTTCATTTCAGAAACAGGTTGTTTTTTTTTTTTTTTTTGTAATTAAAAAATGCAAAGTAAGGAATGTTATATTTTTCAAAAGCACATTGTTTGGTATACCTTTTCTTTGTGGGTCAAGTTAAAATATGCATTTGTGAAACAGATGCAAAATCACTTTGAAATAACCAATGTGGCCAAATGATACATCACAGAAAACTTTATATACAGGTGTTTGGCAATATGATTGAAGGAATGTTTGGTAAATCTGGCAAAAGCAGTGCTGCTGGTGCCAGGGTCCTGCAGCTACCACTCAGTCTGTTTACAAGGGATAATTTTTTCTTTTCTGTAGTCAATATGAGGAAATGTTAATGGCTGCACAGCAAATATATGCATCTTTCACTTCTTAGATTTCTTTGGAAATACCAAGAAACAAGTAAAAATATCTTCAAGTGTTGATTTATCTCCTTCTGGTAAAAAAAAAATAGAAAAATTCTTTTGGAGAAGGCTTTTGTCCATGTGCCTGGAACAAGCAGAGTGTGTGTGAGTCACATCAAGTGCACTGGAAGGTCTCAGAGTACAAAATCACTTTGGGCTCCCCAATGAAGAGTCTGTTGCTCTAAAAGCAAATATTGAGCAGATCTAAAACTGTTCATGGCCCTTTCCTTCACTAGCTGGGATCTGAGGAATGGCATAATGCCAAGCTTCCCTGGGCTGTGTCCTCTAATGAAAACACACCTTGGAAACAGAGGAGAGAGGATGGAAAGGTTTGGCACATTGACCTTTCTCTTACTCTCCTGGCAGCTGTCACCCAAAGTAAAATCAGCCCTGGAGTTGCTCACCAAATACTCACTCATGGATGTGTATTTAGGAGTGAAATAGTGGAGAATGTGCAGAGTGTCCTTGGCAAATTATCTGTCTGTAAAGTGCTTTTTTGTAGGCTGTGGTGCTCCTTCTCTACCAGAATGAATAGCAGAGCAATTTGCAGATATCCACATTAATATAACATGACAATAGTCTGCTTTGTACATTTAAGGGTCTGTACTTGAAATGAATGGCAAAATACTCAATTAGGGATAATAGTAGTAGAATTGAACCCATTCCCCCCCAGTATCTTAAAATAAATCATGTAAAACACTTACATTTGCAAGTTTTACCGTTTCCCTCCATCCCAGTGGGGCAAATTCCACATACATAAGATCCAAAGGTATTAGTACAAGATACTCCAGGAAAACAAAGACTCTCTTCACATTCATTCTTGTCTTCCTGACAAGTAAGCCCTGTGGCAAAGCAAAGGAGAAGTTAACAATCAGGAAAGGTTCCCTGTTTATAGTTCAGCTCAAGTGTTGAAGCAGACCAGGGCTCACTTCTCAGCTTCAAACTCATTACAGGGTATGTCACTCATGTTCCAGCCAAATCCTCCACTGTCTCGCTTAAACCTGCTTTTATCACACTGTTTATTGCTGTCATTATTGGCACCAGAAGTGCTGAATTGGAGACTACTGCTCATGGAAAGCTGTGCATGTTAAAAATGCACATAAATGAAATTAGAATTGCCCCTGAATGCCATGTCTTTGCTGCTGTTTTTGCTGTCTTGTTAATGTTGCTAATGTGGGGTCTTTGTCATGTACTGAAGAACCCCATGAATTTCACCTTTTTGGCTTTAGGATATGAGGAGCCATGTACTGACCTCTATTGTACTTTGTTTCTATGTGAACCTCACACAAATGTGAACTGGCCTGATAGAGTCTGGTTGAAGGTAAACCTTACAAAATGATCAGATTTTTAAAAACAACCCAAATTTTTCTATTGAAAATAAAAATTTGAAGGAACATTCTGAAAATGTCACTGAGGCACAATACTGGTATTTGGAGGATAGGCTGCCACAGGATCTGAATCCAAAACAGTATCTCTTGACTATTCCTGATTTTAGAAAGAAGGTTTTAAAAATCCCTTAAAGCAACTGATTTTCAAATTCACAACATTGAGTGATTTAATGAATCAAATTAAGGGAGGGTGACCCAAAAGATAAAAATACAATCTGAACAGCAATGAGTAATCAAATATAATGTTGTTTAAAACTCCTCCAGGCTTCAGGTGCTGCTGTCTCTGTGCACTCTGGCAAACTTGCTTGGCTGCTGCTGGTCACAGGATGGGCAGCCACAAACCAGCCCTGATCACTTTTATTAAAGCATCCTCTTTTTCCCTGCAGGAATAAACAAGGAGATTGGGACAGCTTCTGGAGAATCCAGGGACGTGCCTCAAGACACAGGTACAGAAAGGTTTGATCCATATCAGATATCCAGTTTTATTGTGACAAAAGGTCTAAGGATAAAAGAATCTTCTCTTTTTTTTTTTTCTTTTTCCTTCAAAAAATAATTTTGTCACAGAGCAACGAATTGCAGGATGATAAAAACAGAGTTATTATTCACCTCCTACAACATAATGTCTCATTTCTTCAGCATTGCAGACAGCTTCCACTAGTCCTTTCATGTTAAAATAGTATTTCGATGTAGAAAACTCAAATTGAAGTCTCTTTATAGTTTGAGCTGCCTAAAAAGCCAGTGACATCACCTTCCCATGTCTGCTTCTTCTTGAGGGAAAAAAAGAGCAGCAGCAAGAAAGCTGCATCCCTTTTCCTGTGCCATTTCAACATAATTTATTATGGTTTTCATGCTTCTTGCTTCATTTATTGAAACTGGACACCACACAGCGTTGCAGGACTGGGCTTACCTTTTCCCTTCCCTTGTTAAATTTTGGCTGACTGTTTATATTTCATTATATTTCAATTATCACGTTCCTGGCATCAGGCTGCTTTTCTCTGCTGCTGATTTCTGGTGATTCATTGAGAAATTATTAGCCATCACAAGGAAAATATTGAATGAGTAGCCCTCTGATTGGGTTAGTAATTACTTTCTTTCTCTGAGTATCATACAAAGACTAAACATGCTACCATAAACAATGAGAGGAGGATCAATGTTCCCAGTTTCAGTAACAACAGTCACTTCTCCCTTGGTCCCTCTCATACTTCTCACCTTCAAATACTCTGTTTTCACTGCAAAGGGCTGTCTTTCATATCTCAAAGACAAGAGCATTACAGAAATCAAAGGAACACCGTAAGTAACAAGATAAAATTCAGCCACTTTGTAAAGCTGGAACTATGCAAACACTGCTTTTTACACAGAGACATTTGATTTTAAACAGTGTCTGACCAATTTGGGCATGATGATAATCCTGATGAATCCAAGGAGAAATGTTTGCAAAGACTGAAACTTGGCTGCATGATGCTGACGAAGCAGCAGAAATGGACACAAAACTGCATCAAGAAGTGTAAATTATTCTGTTTACAGGACCTCCTGTGCACTGTAGCACAGGGGAGTCTCAACTGTCTTGGCACTGCTACAGTACAAATAAAAATAATAGGAATAGAAGTTCATCAAGTTCCAAGACTGAGCCATCTGTTTGTGTGCCAGCTATATTTCTCCATCCCTGCATGGGAAGTTGTTTGAGAAAATAAAGTCCTTTCATGCCTCGATAGGAGCTGACCACCTACAGATGCAAAGAAAGATTTTTTGACTGTATTCACATTAAGCTGACTCTAAAGGAACAGAAAAATCCCATTTAGGGTCTCTATGGTTATTAGAAACCAGTAACAAATCCTGGGAGTTTCTTCAGTTTCCTGAAATATAAAATGAAATTATGGTTCCATCTTGCTGCCCGTCCCACCCCCAGCTTTGTACTAATCACTGGTGTGTGGGGAAAGAAATAAAGATTTTGTGATTGGGATAGTTATCAAGGATGAGTTCTCAGGTGGGTGATGTTCTTGCTTTCTGTGGCCAAAAGAATAAACAACAGGGAGCTTTGCTATCGTGTTGACAATGCAGATGAAAAATGAATGAGCTTTGAACACTCAGAGATCCAGTAATAACTCTGGAGTCAGCCTTCTCTCAGATTTCCTACTGGATTTCTCCCTGCCTTGCTCCCATTCTTGCATTTTACCCTCACATGATGCACCTGAGCTGTGCTTCCCTTGCAGGGGTGTGGGGGAAGCTCTCACAAGTTCACTCCTTCTTTCTACTGCCTGTTTGCTGTCATTTGTAAAGATTTGATGGTGAAGTGGTGCTGTCACTTGAGCTGCATAGCATTGCCTTCTCATTAGATTATTGATGGTTTTCTGGGGAATTGAGGCATAAACACAGCATCAAGAATGAGCTTTTATTGCTGTCACCAAACCTGCCCTGAAGTAAAATCATCTGCTTCCCAGCTGGCTTGCAGCTCCACTTGTTTATAATTTTTCACCTGCTATTAAAACTTTGAGATGTATTCCTTTTTCACTCAATCATATCTTATTTTATTTTCCTTTGTTGCTTGCGTTTTGGCATTTTGGGAAGAACAGGAAAGAACATCAAAACCCTTGCACTGTTATTTAACTTGCAAGACCTAAAGGTGAAGCAAAACCTGTTTTTTTCTGTGGCCATCAAGATTCTCTGTGCCCTTGTCTCTCCAGTCAGCAGGTCCACTGAAGTTATTAACTCATGGAATTATATTTATTTTTATTCATTCAATCAATCAAACTCCTTACAGTCAATCAAAACTTTTTCTCATTGTCTATCTCCATAAATTACACCATAAAAAGTTCCCAGTTTTTCCTGTGCTCATAGGAATATTCTTTCCAGGGGATTACAGACATTCTTCATATGTTTGGTTGGCTTAGGGATTTTTATTTTTTGATCAAACTTCTATGTTAGAACTTTATTCTCCATGCTTAGGCTTGTGTGTTCTTGCCTCACTGGAGTCTCTGGTGGTGTGAAGACTTTGGACAGCAGCAGGATTTGGCCATTAGGTAGCATCACCTGGAGTCAACACAGATTAGGTGTCACAGATCTTTTAGGCCATTTTTATGGACTTCTGAAGGATTTTAATTTTCATTTCTGCTGGAATTTTATAGAAATGAAATCTGGGCTTGCAGTCCCACATGGCCAAAGCAATAAAGCTGCTGACAGGCAGGAAGGGTACCTTGCCTACTGAGTAAAATCTGTTCACTGCTTTTATTTAAAAATGAGTGTTTTTCTGTGTATATGCACAATAAGCAGTAATAATTATGTGCATTTGATGTTATTTCTACTTTATTTTTCCAACCTATAACACTGGCAGCAGCCAACTTTATGGGTCTTGGGAATGTGAACAGAGCAGGGGGTTAAGTGATCATCTTTCTTCCCTTAATTTCTTAAAATCACATTTTGGCCAGCTTTTCTGGTTTTGGCTTGGATAGAATTTTGAAACCAGGGCACTAGCCTTGAAGAGTTTCAGAGGTTAGATTTTGTTTCATCATCATGTATGACAACTCACTGGGCTTGTGATTTTCTAGTGCTTAAATTTAATGAAGCTTCAAGCGGGACTAAAGGAAAATTTATTTTTCCATGTTTCCCATGCCTTCTTCTCCCTAAACCTAAGAAACCTCATTTAATCCTAGTTCTTTCCTCAGCTTAATTAAGTGAAATCCTGTCAAGTGCAAAAAGGCCCTGGCTCTTTGCCTTTTCTCTCTTTCACTCAGTCTTCTCCTAGCTCGTCTCATGGATGGACAAATCCATGGGAAGTGAGCAGGAAGCAACAGAGATCTGTGAGGTTCACGTCCTCCTTGAGTGATCATTTGAGGACAGCAGAGCTTTAGGTAAATTTTCCTCATTATTAGATAGAGAAATGTCATCTCTCTATGTCTAAAGCTAAACCACAGCAGCAGAAGAGCAGGATTATGTCTGCAGTCCATTTGGCAGATGTTGTGGTCGTGCCACACTTAAAGAATTCTGTAGCTCAGTTCAACCACATCTGTGGTTAGACCAGAGATGCAAACAGAGAGGTGTTACCTCCCAAGCCAGGGGGGCATTTACAAAAGTAGCTCCCCATGCTGTCCACGCAGGTCCCGCTGCCACAGGGGTTTGATTTGCAGTCCCTGATGTCTTCCTGGCAGAATTCTCCATCAAATCCATTTGGACACAAGCATAGGTATTCACCAAGGCCTGGAGGGTATTTGATATTGGTGACACATGTGCCACCACTGAGGCAGCTGCAGGGCTTCACTCCGACCTGGAAAAGGCAAAAGGGGATTCTGGTAAGGTTCCTCTGAATAACCACAGCGGGGATGTGTATTGTTCCCCTTTTGCAAGGGAGAGATTTGCACCGCAAACATGTTATCCACTATTATGGAAACTTATTTTAACCAATTTCCTTTGTCTAGATAGATGGTCTTACACTCACTGTACTTATTTATTTGACTGAGAGCTCGACTTCAAAGGGATGTCCTTTTTTAATCATTTAAGGGGCACATTCTGGCTTCTTATAAGGAAAAAAACCCAATCTTATTTGCTGCAACAGCAGACTTCACATCGTATCTGAGGGCAGAATTTGTTCCTTATTCTTCGAAGAAGAAAGGAAAAATCTTTTCTTTTTGCCTGCCTGCCCACCTTCCTCTTTCACATTACAAATGGCTCCCAGGCAGGAACATGACTGTGGCATTCCTTATCTGGTGTTTCCCTTCAGGGAAGGGAGATCCATGGTTGTATTTTGCGTATGTACAAGAACTGCATTTCTACAGATTCAAAGCTCTGCATTATCTCCCCCAGATAACACAGGTCTAGCTTGAAATATTTCCATTACAGCCATATCTAGGCTCCAGCTTCCCCTTTGCTGTGTGGGTTCAGCAGATTGGTATTTTGTGGTTTGAATGAGCAAAAACAGGAATCTCTGGGAATAAAAATCTTTTCTTCACAAAACTGTTCTTATGTCAAGAGTCTGTGTCCTGCTTTATTAGCTCATCCGATCAGAGGATTAATGTTAGCCCACACAATAAAGACAAAGCCATGCACAAGCTCTGCCAAGAAACTTAGAGCATGGAGTAAAGACATAGGAGCAAGACATCCTCTAAAAATATCATTGAGAATGAGTTACAATCTCCCTTTTATAGCTAAAGCCTGGTCTTTTATGTTATATGCTTTTTTTGTGCAATCCAGATGCAAAATGTGAATTTTAAAGCAGATTAATGAACCATTAAAAGGCTCTGCAAGAATGTTCTTTCAAACAGCAATCAATAGCACTCTCTCTTGTTCCCTGTGTATATAGTTTCTATGTTCTCAGAGATATTTATTCCATTAATTGATCATTATTGCTGTGCTGGATATTATACACTTATGAGGAAATAGCTGAAGCCTTGTTTTTCAAGACAGTAACAAATTATTAGCTATGATGACAATTGCATTGACATGACAGGTTTTTGTTTTTCCTTTGAAGTGCTCTTTCCCTTACCTCAATAGAGTATCTGCTCTGTGCATTGCACTCATCTGACACAGTGAATTCAAAGGTCTGCATTTCTTCTGAATCCACTTTCCAGAGCAGCAGGCCAGCAGGAGAGAGCCTGGCATCCCGTGGCCCAGCCTCCAAGATGAATAGCACAGCTGACCCTTCTGGATCCACTGCTATTAGCTGGTAAACAAAATTCTCACCAATAAATGTCAGCAGCTGGCTGGAGGGGGCCTGGAACACAGGAGGCAGGTTGTCTAAACAGCAAAAATGAAACCATGATTACATAAACTCCAGTTTCTCCCACGCAGAGATTCTCAGAGAGGGTCTTTGAAGGAACACTCTCAAAGAAAACATGCAGATCATGCCCAGAGGCTGATGGAGGAAGAGATATGTGTGTTAGAGGCAGCAAATAGCTTTACCAAAAGAACACCTTTTTCCTCCCTTTTTTTTTTCATTACCTATGCTGAATTTTTGTCCCATCCTTCACGTGGATTAATTTTGATATGCATCTGATATGTGGGAGTAAATAATACATTATGTCTATAACCTCCCCCTAGTCCCAATTCTTCTTAAAACTGAAATTAGTTATATTTCTTATACTTACATCATATTTAATCTACCTACCATCCATCCATTTAAATAAAATCTCAAAATGCTGAATGACAAATGAACTGGGTGGGCGGCTCAGAAGGAAAAGTAAATTGTCACTTTTCCACTGAGTAGACTCTGCTGCCTTTACCCATGAGGAGTAATTAGACAAGCAGTTTGAGTGAATTCAGTTGGACATTTTGTCAGGAGCAAAGGTCTTTTCAGTGCCAGCAGAGACACATCAGAGACTGCCCATCCCCAGTGACAGTGCTGTGTATCATGTCACTGTTGGCACTGTTATTTCCAGGGTTGTTGTTTGCATTCAGTATTTCCTTAACGAAGATAAACCCCCCTAATTTTACAAGGCTATTTAACAGCAGAGGATAAATGCTACCTGAAGATACTTTCAATGTACATAGGTAAGGAGGACAAGGTAGAGAAAATGATTACATTTTATAATTAGAAACCAAGGAAAAGTAAGATCAGATGAGTACCCTGAGGTGACAGCAGCTCTTTTCAGGGCCAGGAATTTCATCTCCATGTCCTAAGCCTCCTCAGTCTCAAGGCATCTTTCCTCTTTAGCCAGTAGTACAAATTGACAGGTATTGATATTTAAAGGAGTCTTTCACAGTGTAATTTGACCATAGTTTTGTTTAACTTAACTCACATTTCTAATACCCAGGATTAATTTCAAGTCATGCTCTAACATTATGAACTATATATGAGTTCTCATAAGGACTCCTTGCACTATGCTCATGGGAAATCATCATTAGGGGTTTTTTTTGTGGTGCATATAATTTTTATCCAACTTTGCTTTCCATAGCAGAGCTTAGATGATGCAATTATTTAAATATGTGTCTCCTTTATTGCTGCTGTGTTATGAGAGCTTTCTAAAATGCTTGTCCAGCAGATTGTCCTGGCATAACTGTTGAAAGCTTCCATCTATTCATTTACCTTTTATTTCCCAAACACTAAAGCCATGGAGCCCATAAAAGTTGTGCTCAAAGTAATCAATGAAATATTGATGCAGGGTATGCATTTATGGATAAACACAAAGGTGTTAACTGAATGGATGGTAAGTGGAAGTGGTAGGCACAAAATAACATAAAATCAGATGTTCTGAAAGGAGTCTGTGGAGTGTTTCTAATCCTACAGAGATCTGCTCTCCATCCAGTAAATATATATACACTCTCCCTATTACTGCAGAACTTTTAAAGAAGTTTTCACACCTTTGAAAAAAGTCTGAATAACCCTTTCTTCGAAATATTTTTAAATTTTGACATCATTTAAAAGTGAACCATGAGTTCACTTTCAGTGTTTCTAAATCACTTCTAGTTTTATAAATTTCAAAACAAATGCAGTTTTTACTTTTAAAACCATGTCCTCAATTTGAAAATCGAGCTGCCTTGGTATTAGTAACGAGTCTGTCTGTGTAACACCCAGGATCAGCTCATCCCTGGGATGCAGCTGCTCTGGCCAGCAGAATATAAGGTCATGTTGGATGTGGCTCTGAGCAACCTGGTCTGGTGGAAGGTGTCCCTGCCCATGGCAGGGAGTGGGACAAGATGATCTTTGAGGTCCATTTCAAACCCTTCAAAACTTTCTATGATTCTGTGACAGAAAGGAGGCAAGGTATGTGAGTCACAGATAATATCCCTCATTGGATTAAATATTTTTTCTGGGGAAAACCACACAGCTTTCAAGTGTACAGACTCTTTCAGATCTCACTCACCCTTAGGCATTTTAACTACTCATCCAAGTGACATCCAAATGGATTTTTAGTTGGCCAACTTTTGGAATGTAATAAAATCCCAAACAACTGAAGCAGGCTGGTTCTGTGACTCACACACCTTTCTGTAATGTGTTTGGCTTTACACTGGTAAAATGCAGAGAAATTCCTTCTGGAAGCACCACGTGGATTGACATAAAAGCAGTGATATAATCTTTATATTGACCAGATCAAACATGTAAGGGAGGAGATGGGCTGTGAGGATAATGCTGCTGGAAGCCCAGATTGTCTGTAAAGAGTGGGGTGAGCAATGGTAGTTGTTTACACTGGGCAGGCAGCCATGAAAAAACTATGATTTAGTCTTCCTCCTCCAGGAGATGCTTCAAAAGGCAGCCTTCCCCATGACCCCTGCCTCCAGGGGCTGCAGAATGAGCCTCTGGGCTCTGTGGCAGTGGAGGTAATGAGTGGCTGATCCCTATCACTTGGACTCCCTGCCAAGCCAAGCTCTGTTATGAGGCATTTCATAGGATTTGGCTCAGCAAAAGGAAGGAATTCTTCCAGACACCAAAAATACATGTTAGTGTTTTAAAAACAGTATTTTCCCCAAATTGCCTCCTTAAAGATTTGTACCTGTGAGATGCTGACAGAGATATTTAGGGTTCATCACCTTTAGCTGACAGAGTTGGGCACTGCATGGGGCACTGACATATCAAATTCTAATTTTCAGGCATTTTTTAAACTTATTAATCTGAGATTTATCAGGTTTCAGACAGAACAAGGTGCATCGTGCATGCCGTGGAGTCTGCATTTCTGATGTACCAAATTATTGCCACTGCAAACAGTCCATGTGCACTCATAGGATAGATTCAGGTCAGCTAAATGGAGGAATGATATATTTAATAAAATGAGTCATAAATTCCCAGAAAATTCTAGAGAAGAAACCCCTGTCTTACTTTCATTAACAGACCAGGTGAACTTAGAAATGTCAGGTTCACAGAGAAGACAAGGGCTTGTAGGGCTTGACTCTCCTTCACCATAGCAAAGTCCATCGATATTGCATGTATTTTCCTGCCAAAAAAAAAAAAAAGGAAACAAAAAACAGGTTGGAGGTGAGAGCAAAAAAACAAAAAAAAAAAAAAAACCCAAAAAAAAAAAAAAAAAAAACAACCCCAAAAACCCCAAGGAATAAGAAAGATAAGAAATTGGCAATTATTAATTTATGGATATAAGCAGAAATTCACTTGTCTCTTGAAACAAGGAAACAGCAGTAATTTAAATGTTGGTGCTTACAGAGAGAAAACTGTGGAAGTTTTCCAGTCCCAGCTTGGGATCCTTGTAGCTTTGAATGTTTTAGCTTGGGCAATGGGGTGTTGCTTTGTCATAAATGGATGATGGATGCAACAGAATATGACTTGTCCCATTTGCACACTCATGTGGTGTATGTGGTCACTATTCCCAGCTGTGACTGCTCATATGGGGAATATCAGGTATCCATGAAAGGTCAGCTCCACGAGACTCCCAAAACCCGAGACTAGACTATTTCCATTTGAAATATTGGAATCCTGCTCTTCATAAACATTTGCAAAGGCAAATTCTGCTACAGCAAATTCTGCTATAAAAGCAGAATAAAGAAGTGCATTAGAATTCAGGCTCCCATGAGGGAGAAGAGCTGAGCACATCCCTGGTGCCTTGGTGGGGCAGAAGATCCCAAAAGCCATTTGTGAGGGGATGCTCCTGTGGCACAGCAGCCTTTGGGCTGAGCTGCTCCTCTCCCACCAGGTTCAGGGGGGCCCTGTGCGTTGAAGGCATTTGGGGTCTCTGAGAAGGGAACACAGGGACATAATTAACAGATGGAGTGAAAGATCTATCCCGTGGGAAGGTCCTGTGGAGGAGTCAGGCCTTGTAGCCTGTGTTGGGCAGGTGGGACTTTATCTGGCCATGCAGATTCCCAGAAAAACATGGAATACTTCTGGGAACAAGGGGGATGTCCTTGCCACAGTGGGACAGTAGGATGGACAAGCTACCAAAGACGTTTTTCCTTTCCCTTCCTTTGTTTTTCTGAGACTGGTGTCTGTCCTGTTAGTGTGCCTGTGTTTTCTGTCTACTGCTTTGCTGGTGTTCCAAACTTCTTTTGCAAACTGCATTAGTCAGTAATACCACTTTAGGGTAATGGGTCAGGTAGAGAAACAAAAAGCATTCTTATAATGGCCACAACATGATAGAACATGACAGATCTCCAGCATTAAAACCTGGATGTTAATTAGATTTTATGACATTGTTGTTTTCAAGGGCTTGATGCTCTGATGAAAAAAAAAAAAATTTTTTCTGGTGTGATACAGAATGGGCCCCATAAAAGAACACAGAATGTGAAATGAGCTGATATAAAATGTCCCCTAATTGAAACACCTTTTCTGAAAGCAATTTAGGTGTTGTAGAGTAATGTAGAAGGGGAATAATTAGACTGTGGTCTGATGCAATTGGAAGCCTAGTTCAAATATTCCCTTGAAGCATCTTAGAACAGAAATTACTATAATCCCTAGAGAACACCATCTTGAGAGACCACATACATTTCTGAGTTTCAGAAACATGAGAATAAGTAATGCCTTTTACAAAAAAGCCCTCCCCTTAGCTTTAAGTGAAATGATTCTAACACAATTCTTTAAATCTAAAACTAAAGTGGTTTTGCCCTCAGTTGGGCTGCACTGGTTTCCCTGCCCTTATCTCTCTGAGGGCTGTGACAGAGGGACTTTGAGGCACCCAGTCAGGTTCAAACTACCACACAGATCTGTAAAGTAACTTCTGTTCACTCACTTACTTTGAAAAAATGAACTTTTAAAAAATTTTGGTAACTGGTATGCGCTTGCAATCAGTGCAGGTTTTAAAACTGTATTTTCTCATTAGCATTAATGAGAACAGTGAGGCAAATGAGTTAAGATGTACCTGATTAATCTTCATTTTATAAAAAAACAGACTGGTGGCCTCCTATTAATTCATACTTGCCTCTGGGCAGGAAAGCAGGATCAGCACATTCAAATATCCCACCTAATACCCTCCAAAATTTTTCTGAAGCCCCACTGCAAACCAGATAATTTGCTTAATGCAGGCCTCTGGAAAAAAGAGAAGGGAAGATCTTTTTAAGGGATGCTACACCAATAATTACACAGAAAAACAGAGGATTATAGTGCTCTGCAGGCAGTTTAAAACGTGGCTCTAGACTTTTGGTTACGGTTTTGAAACTATCAGAATACTCTATGTTTGTACTTAGCAGTGTTTAATGCAAGCAGGAATGGTTTATGCTCTCTCAAGGGTGTTCTCACATGACAAAAACTGTATAACGTGCATCTTTGTGTGCCTCTTGCTAAGGCAGAAAACGGGAATAGAAATGATATAGCCTCACCAAACAGGCTGGGAGAGGGAAAAGAGCAGAGACACTTCAGAAGTGAAGCTAAGCCTCTCAGGGCAGGCTCCTCACTCTTATTTACTCCCACTAACAGCTGCAAAGGATAAATATTGCCAGCCATGAGCTTTCCTGAGGTGTTTGTGTGAGGAAGGTCCATCATAAAGCATGCTCTATCAGGTGTTCATACCCCACGTAAATATGAAAAAGAAATAAAATATCGCAGACACGAGGCTGTGAAAGAGAAAAGCAAAGTGTTGGGCTGTGCAGCTGATCTGTGAAATAGGTTTTCCCCTTCCAGAGCAGTTATTCCACACAGCACATCCGAGGGAGAGAGAGGGCTAAGGAAGAGATGAACGATCCGTATTAAACCTTTATGATCTTTAAATTACCTTTAATTTACAAAGTGCGGTGGGGTGGAGTTGGCAGAGCTGGCAGACCGCGTCGTACAGGGTCAGCACTCGGGAGTTGCTGTACTGCAAGCCATCGTTAGTGACCTGAATGATACAAAAATCATCTTTAGAAGTAATAATGCTCCATATGGAGACTGTCTGCTCATTGTGGAGCACATACCACTGCTCCCTTGGGCTGGATGCGTGCCAGCAAGATAAATTAAACCACTTGTGAGTGGCTCTGCGAGCTAACAAATTGCTTAATGCTCCAAACTGGAAATTCTTCATTAATAACCAAAAGATCTTTTGGCTCCGCTGGCATTCAGCTTTCTGATTGCTATTAGGTTTTATCCTGAAGGTGTTTTTTTTTTTTTTTTTCTTTCTGATACCCTTATGGAAGCTGTACTCAAGTACTAAAATGGGGATTTCAAGGAGTTGTGAAACACAATTAACATTTTTGGCTGGGACTCAGAACCACTTTTTTACTAATAGCAAATCAGTAAGTAAAATCCTTGGCCTGAAAGAAAAGAATGTGTATTATATAGGTTTATTTGAAATTAACCTTATAAAAGATGCAAGGGATGACAATATGAGAGAGAAACAGTCTCAATTCTGTAGAGCAGTCACCTGTCCCAGCTCATAATGGATAATCAGAAAGCCTTAAACATGGCCTTTATTATATAAGAATGCTTATACAATGCAAAGGAGTTGAGTAAATTTATATTTTAATTTTCCCACAGTAAAAATGAAACAATACCAGAGAAGTGTGGATAAGTGGGAAGCTTTTGAGAGTGCTTTGTGAGACATCTTGAGTGGTGTGAACCTTGAAGAGCACCCCAAAACCCTGGGGAAGGCCATGCTGTAGACATTGATGAGAACCAGTAGGAAAGCAAAGCCTTTTTGTCAGGTTTTAGCTCCTCACAATCAAAATAAAGCTGCTGCTTAGCAAATCTGACAGGGTTTGCTTTGGACTCACCAGGTACCCCTGTGTTTTCTTGCTATTAAAAACCAATCCCCAGCCCTCCTCCATCTCTCCTGAGACCACAAAACTGAAACATCCTCGGTCCCTTTGCAGGAGATTTTTACAAGACTGAGGCCGTAAAGTTTTTGATCAATCAATAAACTCTTCCAGCTCACAGAAAGAATATTAAGTTAAATTGAACAAAGATAAACAGAAGTACAGAGAGCAAAAATTACTTGGTAAGTTTCATAAAAAGCAGCAATTATCATGAATTGGTTGAAAGTTCATGGGAGGTAATAGAGCAGATTCTCCTACAATGTCTCATGGGATGGTTCTGCATTTTGAGCTGAGTGTTTATGTCTGCAGAAACCACCACAAGGGCAGGCACAGCCAGCATTCATGGGTATTCACAATTTCAACTTTTGGAAGTGAAATAACTTCTTTGGACTAATATAAATTGGACTAATAAAATTCAGTAAAATCCGTTAGATCTAGTAAAATTCATTGGTTTAAGGAAAATATTAGACTATTGACATATTAGACTATAGTGTGTTGTACTACAGGTAAAAGTGCTTTTAAAAGAAATAAAGGATTTCTCCTGCAGTTTGAGAAAAAACTGAAGCAGACAACCTCCCTGTAGACCTGCTCTTCACTGAAATACTCTGGCAGTAAGACTTCCATTAAGAATTTATAATTCCTAATGCAATTTAAACTTAATTTAAATTCATTATTTTACCGGAGTGTCCAAAGTTGTCTCACTACTGGTGCACTAATAATGGGTGGAAAAATGGCTAGACAGGGAAAAATATAAAAAGCTGTAGAACTGCACTAATTGTTCTGTCTGAAGTGAGCGCTGTGAGTGAATGTAACTCCTGTAATTTGATTATTTTTTAATCTGTTTTTTTTTTCTACATTCTGTTATAAACATCTATTTTGGGTTTTTTTTTTTAGAATTGAGCTGGTTTATAGCTATTTTAATTGCTTTTTCATTAGTCATCTTAGTGATGTGGAACAAACACTTTGATGAGAACTGAGCTGAGCTAAACCTTTAATTTGTTTGGACCTTAAGAGGCAAAAACCAACTTAGAGCTGGGCCTTGTTTGCTTGGGCATAGGTATGATTTGGAAAGAAGGAGCTGCTTCTGCAGAAATGCAAAGGATGATCAGGAACTCTGTTGCTTCTGCTTCAGGTTTTTCACCTGTCATGAAATGATCTTCACTATTGGCATCACTCTACATACACTTTGCATGAAAGTTTCTAAAAAAAAAAAAAATTGAAAGGTGTAAAACTGTGCTGAGCTCAAATTCAGTTTTTGCCTCACCGAATTTTTTTTGTGATTTTTTTTTTTCCATTCTAAATAGATACAGCAACAACAACTTAATGAAAAGGATGAGAGCTGCTTCCCAAATTAGATAAGTGCCTGCCAAGCTCTTTCACCTCTTCACCCAGGCATCTGCCTGGACAGCTCAAGTCATCTGCTGCCCAAGGATAGGTTTGTATTTTGATATCTCAATTAATTATGCCAAACACTCTGGTGTAGCCACATGTACTTTCTTATCTGTGTTCAGCAGCATGTCATGGGAACAATGGGCAAAATCTGAAACATGAATACAACAGGAGATTAAATGAAAGAGCACTGAGAAGAGCTCCTGCTCCCCCAGTGCTGGTAGTGAGAAAGCTGTAGTGAAATTTTTCTGATTCCTTTGAAATTTGATTTGGGAAGGGGGAGAGATTCTGAAAATATTGAACAGTGACATTTCCAGAAAGAATTGTGTTGACTTTTGGTTCTGAAAAATCCTTTAGCTATGTTTTGAAAAGTAGATACATAGATGCACAACCCAGATCATCAATAAGTCTTATGAGCTGCAATAAGTCTTAAGAGGAATTTTCTGGAACAAGAATTTTTGAACACCTGTGGCATTAATTGAAAGTAATTTTTTATCTTGAAAAGCTCCATGATTTTTTTCTCTGTGCTGCCATGTAAGGCCAGCTGCCTTTGAAACTGAGCACTAGGCTCTGCCTTCCCAATTTGTTCATCTAAAGATCCACAGGAGTTCCAGACTCACATGCAGACCGAGATGATTTAATTGAGCATTCGCTGCGTAGCCGTCAGCCTGGTTCCTCTGCAGGGCTTGAAGGAGAGGGAAAGGGCAGAAAGCTTGCAGGTGCAGAGGTTTTCTGGAGCTTTAGTGCATGGAAAGAGTTTTTGTAGTTGTTTTTGAGGGGAAGGAATGAGAAAAATTGTACAGACCTCCTCAGGGCTGAAAGGAAGCACTTGAACACAAGCAGAATTGTAACAGACCTGTGCTGTGAGGACGATGTCCTGGAACACTGGGGAAACCTTCCTGTGCCCATACCAGCATTCTAGCTGTCCTCTTGGGCCAGAAACACCCAGGGTGTCTCCCTCTCAGCTCCTTCCACCATGAGACAGCATTTTATCTCACAGCTGGCAGAGTTCAATACCTTTTTGGAGCAATTTTGGAGCCCTGAGCAGAGCACCTTCCCTCCTGGTTCAGCTCTGGTGTATGACAAAAGGAATGTCCAAGCTCCACCCCAGCAGCAAACAGGCTCTGCACCCTCAGGATTTTACCCTAATGTCCTAAACTCCCAAATCCTTACATTTTTAAAATAAATGACTGACTAGAAGACTTGTCCTGCCAAACATCTTTCTGTTCCCCCCAGGCCACGTGGCAGCACGCATCTCCAGCGGGGTGCAGGCAGCTGCAGGGTGCAGGACAGGCAGTGGTGAGGGGAGAGCTTTACGTGTTTCATTTTGCATGCTGCAGTTTTCCGAGCACATCTGTAGTCTCTCTACAATGGCAATATATTCTTCTCAGCTTCAGAGCCCTTAAAAAAAAAATCTCAGTTTTGTAAAAAACAGCTGATCTGCAGAAAATAATCATTCAGGCCTAGAGTGAGTCCAAGGGCAGCAGGCACGCAGGGTCGGGAAGGCACTGGTTTCCTGGGGATATTTAGAAAAATAGGTACCGTTTTGTGAAAAAAAAAGGGGCTAAAATTGCAGCAGAAAACCCAGACGAAGCAGATCCTGCACATGCTTCTTCCTGCAGCCATTCAGACCATGACTGTGGCCGTGACATCCCAGGAGCCAGCCTGTGCACACACTGCTTGTGCACCCAGGGAGTCAAAGCTCTCTGACACTTGCTGCCTAGTCAGGAGTTTGAGCTGGGGCTTTCAGAAATGGAATACTAATGATTAACAATTGATTAGCATAACTGCATCAATCTTGGGTGATTACCTCTAGAAGTGGTTGTAATTTGCCCTTTTGGATTGGCTACACAGACACCTGGGTTGAAGCTCATTGTTTTGGTTGGTGGGGTGTTTTGTCTTTTCTCTATGTGACATTAGTGCGAGTATTTCTACAGGCCTTTTCATTTCTGAAAGGAAGAAAACTGTGCTTTGCATTTTAATTTACCATGACAACTGGTTTTCTCTTTCTAAAACGTTTCTTAGAAACATAATAAAATTCCTACTTTCACTTGCCATCTTGCAAAGGGCTCGTCACCGGCCACGAAGTGCACGGCCTCTGTGATGTTCAGGAGTGGGATCTGGCAGTCCACAGCCTCAGAGCTCAGGAAATCTGCTTTTGTGCTTTCTTCTTCTCTTGATATCCATTCGCCATTGAGATGCTACAGTAAAGCAGAGGGAGAGTGCAGAAAATGAAGGCTCATAAAGAGATTCCAGTTGTCAGTGTATGTTTATATTTCTAATCAATAATATAAGGCATTCCTAGGTGGTTTATTTAAAATGAAACATGCTGTTACTATAGCTACAGTAAAAGGGGAAGCCGTGCCTAGCTAGGCATGCAGGTGGTCTATTGATTTAGGAAGTGCTGTGATCTGCACTTGGGATGAGATGGGGTGATGTAATCGAGTAACTTTGTGTTTCCTGCTGGAGCTCAGCAGCCGGCTTGTGGCTCTTTGGAGGTGATGTCAGCTACTCCCCCAGATCAGCTGCACAAAACATTCCAACTTGGTAAGAGCCCATGGAGCCCTAAGGGGGCTCAGCAAATCTCAGCTGTGCCTCGTGAGTGTGCCAGCTCCGACTGGGAGTCAGGCTGAGTGTCTGTTCTGAGGTGGATTTATGAGTTTAATCAAACATTTCATATCTGAGGATGCTGATCTACCAAATAACTCAGTTGCAGCATTGACTGTGTATAGTTGTTTATGATAAAATTACAGTGCTTGCATAAGAGATGGGTTTGATGCTCATCAAAACCTCTGATTTGGTGTTGAAGTATGACTAAGAAAATTCAAATAAAAGCCTCTGTAACTGTGGTGAGGAAACCCTATATTCAACCACAAAACATTTAAATGTGTTTAGGAAAACAACCAAGTGTAGTGATTCCAGATGTACAAAATGAGAAATAATATTGTGATTTCAGGCTTCAATGGACTACAGAGCAGCTGAACCAAACAGGAATCAAACAAAACTCCACAGAGATAATGAGAAAGAACTCATAGCTGTACATTTCCAGGGAACCAGTCCTGGAAAGGTCTGAGCCTCTTCAGCTCTCCTCACTTGTAGCAAACACATTGACAGTGGGCTCGGAACCTGCTGAAGCAGTGAGGGAAGACAGCACAGGCCAGAGTAAAACATTTCTATATAAACATGCCAGCATTTCACTGCATCATCCATATTTTAGGAGCCAACGGGAGGCAGCTTACGATGAGCCTGGTGACCTGGCAGTGCAGGCTGGGAGAGTCTTTGAACCCGAGGCCAAACACCCGGATCCTGCTGCACTCCGAGGCTCGGACGTCGCAGAGGCCCCCGTTCTCCAAGGCTGTGATTTCCAAAGCTTGCTCTGCAGGGTGAGATGGATACAGAGCTTTAGAGAGCAGCACTTACACTCTGCTCTGTTCTGCTTCAGCAGAGATTTTGTTGTAGCTGTTCCTGGTTGTTGTGGTTTAATACTTTTCCCTAGGGTCTTCCTTGCCTCCCAGTGGATTTCTCTTGAACAGAGAAACAGCAGTTGTCAGAAGGGGAAGCAACAAACCTCTATTAAATATTGTCCTGTGCACCCAGTGCTGCAAGATGTATTAGTGAGTGTCAGGGCTCCTGAATCAATTCCCTGAAGCTGTGGTTTCATGTTAAAAGGTCTCCAGGGCTAAAACTTCTGTTGACCTAAGTATCCAGTGGTAATACATCTGCTGAGCCAGGTAAGAGGGGTAACACATCCCTGAGCCAGGCAACAGGATGGGAGCACAACTGAGAGGGCAAGGCCTCATCCCACAGCATAGAGAAACATGGGAACAAGAGATGGCCATGACACCAGGATCCCTGGAGTGTCAAAGAGCAAGGGAGAAGCCAACCCTGTGTTTTTGGCTTTTTGTTTGTTTGTTTGTTTTTTCCTCTAAAGTTTTGACAGCAGTTAAAGGGTCCTTAAAGTAAAGCTTTCTTGTGAGGGTTAAATCATTAATGGCAGCACTCAGCTGTGCGCTGTGTCAGCACAAAGGTCATACACCAGCTAAGTTTCACTTAAATGCTACATTAAGGCCTTAAGTAGAGCTTAAGTGAAGTACAGCCTGTGCTGCTGACTTCCACCCATTACTGCTTTAAAAATGTCTTATGGCTCTCAGGTAAAGTTTCACTTGGGTTCTGTTGTACTTTGGGTATTCAGCTTTTAAAATTACTCATTGCTTTCACATTGGGGTTGTTTCTACAGAGGAAAAATGCAAGTCCATTGGATGTCAGAATTCACATCTTTAATTAAGAAAAATTATAATTTGGTAGATATTTGCACCAGCTTTTGGGTTGCAGAAGAGTCAGAATGGCTCCAATATCATACATCAATAATAGCAGTCGGTTGGATCATGGCTGAATATTTTGATTTATACTGTTTGTAGATCTAGTGATCAGGAGAAGCCACTATGATGACAAGTAACACAAAACAGAACATTTTCTTCTTGTCTCCTGAACAACACTTAATAGCAAGGGCATGACCAGGAGCCCTGGGAGGGACGTTGCTCACCAGGAGAGTGGAGTTTTATCCCTGCAGAGTCAGAATGGCTCCAATATCATACATCAATAATAGCAGTTGGTTGGGATCATGGCTGATTGGCTTCCTCTTCCCTGCCCCATCACCACTGCTCTGGCAAAGCAATATTGCCCATCAGTTTTCTCTGAGCTGTAGCTTGGCTGAAAAAGAAGCTCTCCATCACCTAATATTTTAATGGTACCTTAGTCCAGCTCTGATTTGAGGGGCAAAAGGCCCTGAGTGGAGTTGATAACCTTCCCCAGCACCTCGCTGTTCCTTTAGGGCTCTGCCATTTAGGCTGTAATTAGGAGAAATGCTGTTTAAACACTGCCATCCCACCAGATTGCAGCCGGTAACAACAGAGCCACATGACTTGTGTTTTTCCAGAAAAAAAAAAAAATGAAGGAAAGCAACATAAACATGAAAAAAAATGAAAATACTTTTTTCCCCCCTGCACTTCTGAAGTGCTTTTAGCTTTTCTTTCATTTTTTAAAGAAATTGATTTTATTGCAGCAGTATTACCAACACTGCTGGACACTTTGCAATATTTACAAGAAGAGAAATCGTTTACAGCTTATCAGCTTTCATCAGTTACTGGTGGATTCCTATAATGTACAAAACTATTAGTCAGATGTGGTGACTGGTTTTGATAAATTGCCTTCTTCTGTGGTTAGTGCATAAAAATTAAAAAATAAAAATGCTTCATTATGTTTTTCATGAGATTTTAATAGTTAGCCCCACTAGTACTGAGGTAGCTTGGATTGCATTAATGTTTTCATTATCTCTGCAGATTTTCAGGCTTCTGTGGGTGAGGCAGAATCTCAGAGCCTGGGAAGGAGTGGGGCCCAGGAATGTGCTCCTGCAGCCCTTCCTGTTCCCCCAAAGCACTCTCAGCTCTGTTGATTAAACCCCTGCACTTCCCCAAGGGTTTCCTTACATCTTTATGGCCACACTCCAGTGTCAAGGTCAGGGCAAGGTGACCCAGCCCCAGTGCCTTGCCCAGGGACTTACAGGATCAGCTCAGCATTCTGTATTTGTTTCTCTCAAACCATTCTGTACACACTTGTCAGGGTTTAACCCCAGCCAGGAACTGAATATCACACAGGCACTTCTCACTGCCCCTCCTGGCAGGATCAGGGAGACAATCAAAAGGGAGAGAGTGAGAAAATGTGTGAGTTGACTTAAGGGCAGTTTAGTGGGAAAAAAAAAGGAAGAAAATACACATAGTAATACATAGTAATGGTAATAATCATGATAAAATATTTAGAATATATACAAGTGATGCACAATGCAATTGCTCACCACTTGCCAAGAGATGCCCAGCCAGTACCTGAGCAGTGGCCGCTGCCCAGCTTTCCCCCCAGTTTATGCACTGAGAGTGATGCCATATGGAATGGGATATCCCTTTGGTCAGGGGGGGACAGCTGTCCTGTTGGTGTCCCCTCCCAGCTCTCTGGGCATCCCCAGACTCCTCGCTGGCAGGGCATGAGAACCTGGAAAGTCCTTTCCTTAACACAAACACTACTTGGCAACAACACTACAAACATCACTGTCTTGCCAGCTATAAATCTGATGGAAAATAATAGTAGTTACATAAATTAAATAAAATAAATTTATATATTTAATAAAAATTAAATAAATTACAATAATTTACAATAAAAGTATTTACATTAATTAATTAAGTAATTAAATAAAAGTAATGTCTCTTTTTTTAAAAAAAATTGATACTAGAGTTCAGCCTTTGGACCTCAGTATAGGCAGTAGATAAATATTGATAAGAGATAATATTTTTATCCTTTTAATTTTTTTTAAATGTCACACATAATGGGTGTAGGAATTTTTTGGCATTTGGTTTTAATAATGGTTTCTGTCTGTCTTCCCCTCTGCCTTCTAGCATTGCATTTTAGCCAGTTCCAACCAAAAAGGGGAGAGGAAATCTCTGTTCCATAGGCTTTGGAAAAGTCTCCTGGCAGTTGGCAGCTGGGCACTCAAACACCCAGACCCTGCTCTTGCTGGGTGCAGGGATCAAGGTGTGGTTCATGGAGGGGAGTTGGAAGACCAGAGAGGTGCTGACATCAGAAGGGAATATTGGAGAGCCTGAAAAACCCCAGCAAAAGAGCTGCAAGGAGTTCAGCTAAAGACTGGAGGGAAGAAGGACAGGAGCAACAAAAAGAGCTGGGAAACAGGTGAGAGTGAGGGCAAAAGTGCAGAGAAAGCAGAGGTTGAGGAGATCTGAGATGGATGTCTGATGACTGTAAAGGGGCAAGATAGAGAGGAGAGAAATCTGTAGGTAATCATGCAGCTCTTGGAAGGTGCTTGTAAAAAGTATGATATATTTGAACATTAATAATTTATGTTTAGGGAGTGTGAATGTCAAAATACCACAAAATCCAGGGCAGAACATCCTCCCTCTTTTCTCTGTATGGCCTATAGGCCAAAAATGTGCTTTGACTTTTACTAGTAGATTAAAAACTGAGGCTCAGGGTGGCACCTGGGGCTCAGATGTGTGACAGGGTGCAGCAGTTGTGGAGGAGGATTTTGGGATCTGTGTGCTCACATCCACTGGCTCAGCCATGGGCATCTCACTGCATTTCTAGTGCCCAGTCTGTACACACAGTGAGTAAACACAAAAAAATGCATCTGTCACCTGGCAGAACATTGCATTGGGATAGTGATGAACAGCAGGAAATGCTTGGGAAAAAAAGTTTTAAAAAATCCTGTGTTTTAATGAAACTGTCTTGAGATAAAATGGAGAGAAGGATCTGGAGTTGAAGGTGGAAATCTCAAAGGCCTCCAGACAGAATAAAGGATCTGTCCTCAGTGGTTTGCAATGCTTGTCCTCATGGCACACCTCCCCTGCCTTCCCTTCCTTCTCCTCCCATCTCCAGTAGGAATTTCCAGGAAAGAACAGTAAATTCAGAGTTTCTGATGGTGTGGTTTCATTCTGTAATCATTTACGTCAATCAAACCTGACAAAGAGCACAGGCTAAATAATAGACTGAACCCCCCCACATAAATACATGGTTGGTTTTACAGGTATTTTTGCAGTGTATTTTGTAAATAATATGCAAAATTGTAGAAGAAAATGAAGAGAGTTGACACGAAATCAAGAATGTTGCAAATCTACGCTTAGTGAAGTCTTACTGACAGATAGAAATAGTTCATGTTGGATTTACCATTTGATTAGAAAAGTATCCCAGCACAAATAAACTTTCTTCTGCACTGTTTGAAAACTACACATGAGGCTTTGGGCTGGAGCAGAAGACCTGAAATTGAAACCAGCAAGAATTTTGTTTGAATAAAGAGAAGGAAAGGAACTGCCCTGCTTTTCTTAAAGGGGATGATAAATAAGCAATCTAAGCCATGGAAAGCAAATCAAGAACCAGATCATAGGTGCTGGGTTGGGTTAAATCTGAAGTGAGAAAGTAAATGGCCCATGATGCCCAGCTGCCCCTTCCTTGGAATCAGGGAGCTGATTGAACAATTTTCCATGCCAGAGCTTGCTGGTGTGGATGTGGACCTCCAGCTACCATAGGTATGAGGGTTCTGTCAGAGCAAACTGATGATCAATTTTCTCTACAGCTTGGACAGAGCAAGTCTGAGTCTGCCTCCATCCAAATGTTTGCACAAATATTGTATTTCTTTTGTATATAATGTTGTTTGGTAATCACAGACAGAGTCATTGAATGCATTATCCTGGAACTCGTGCTGTCCATGACCCAAAGCTCATTAGATAATCCTCCCGAAGAAAAAACTATCAGCAGCCATATGCTCTTTGCCAGAATTCTGGCACATCAGTGATCTCCCTGGCTTCTAAATGAAAACTG